CCTCTCTTTCGACGCAATACCTTATTTTGTGCTCATCACTTCTGATTGCTAACAGGGAACTAAGAGCCAGTTCACGTCTAGCGCTTGCCTTTTTTTTTCTCCTTCCGATGGAAGAAAGAAGAGGAGGAAGAGAGGGTGAAGAAAAATCGACGAGAACTATGTTTTGTGTGTGGTTAGATCGATCTGGAAAAGTCCGATTAAGTAAATGAGAAAATCCAATTAGCACACCATATAATTTGTAGATTAAGTCGAAAAAATGAGAGATTTGTGAAGAGTTAAAATTTTTGCAGGATTTGAAGAACTCGGATTTGAAAATGGCCGGAATATGTTTGCTGCTGATAGCACTGCTGAGCGGATTGATTCAGAAGGGCCCAGTGCAAATGCTGATCCGGATAAAAAGATAGACTTGTCATCAAGGCTAACGTCATTTTTCTCTTCCCACAGCGAAGCTGCAGAAAAATTGGACTGCCCTTTCAAGCCTCCGGTTAATCCTGATATACTTCATGCAAAATGCAATGCCGTTTTGGAAATGATTTCTTCACATAAAAAAAAAAAGAATGTATTGGAAGGGAGTTTGGTGCTTCCTTATGGTTGTTTTATATATTTAATTGCTAATTATAAAACGTTTGGTAATTAATTAGTGATAATCCTCGTTAGCAGCTTGTAAATATACGAGAGAAAATAGACTGGGCGATGGCTTTTTGATTCTTCCTTGTCCAAGCGGTCTTTGTATTCTTGGTATAAGTAACAGGAAATCTGAAAATGACCAAAAAATATTACCAATATTGAGAACTCTGAGGAATAATGTAGTACAGTAAAATACGTTGCCGCGATGTTTCCGGGTGCACTTCACTATTCTGTAATTTGACTTCTGGTTATTTTTGATGATAAATTACGCGGAGGCACTCTTCGTCATTAATACACGCTGTAATACTAACCAGTTTCATTTAACGCTCATTTCTTATTTCCTTGTCTTTCTGCGAATTTTTTCACAGTCAGGTGACTGTTTGAAAATTTTTGTTTTCGCAGCTTTTCGTATTTTCGTTAGATTCTCTGGCTGGCCCAGTCTCGGAAAGTTTTGAAAATAGTTTTACCGAACACTGAAAAACCATTATTTTTATTATGTTCTTGACTTTATTAATGTACACATAAACCGGGTATGTGTGCAGAAATTGGAGTTACCAAAAAAACTATAATCGAAAATTATTATTGTTTGGGGTTTACAAAAAATTCTGATATCAAATTATTGCTTCATTGAGTCTTATTGTTTAGATTATACTTTTTTTCATTATCTGCTAAATGATAATATTAAAAGCGCAAAACAGCAGAGGAAAGAAGTCGCTAGTTTACTTTGCACAAAAATGTTAAAGGCATATAATTTTTATAACTAAAACGTGTGGTACTCATTTGTTGAATTAAAAGATAAAAAATTGTTCCTAAATTTCAATCTTACAAGAAAAAAGTAAGTAAAGGATAGCAAAATCAGTCTTTCATCTTTTTGGTTTTTACTTCTGCCTGAAAGTATTGCCGCTGGTACTATGTGTACTTATTTTCTTTAATATGTGTTACTTTAATGCCTTCAGAAAAGCAAGCGAATGGAGATTCTTTGCCACCTGCAGCGTGTTGCGCAGGAGATTGGTGTGTCGGACCTGACGTCATGTGAACTTGCCGAAGCACTCGATGATGCTGATCCATTGAAATATTTGAGGAACGAGTTCTTCTATCCTAAAATGAAAACACTCCCTCATGGTCGGGTTTTGATTCTCTTCTACTTTTTTGTCAAAGTTTTGAAATTAAGGACTACTCTTTTGGCCACAGACTGGCACGTTCTTTTGTCCTGAAGAATGAAATAAAGAAGGCTTTGTTTCTAATTGACAATAAGTCTTTCAGCTTTTTGTAGGAAGGATTTTAATTCTGAGATTTTTTGAGAAATTCCTGAAATAAAATATTAGGGAAAAAAAGAAATGTTCTTTCAATGCTGAGTCAGCGAGACTACGAAAATTGATTTTCTTGATAAAAAGATTTATGCCAAAAGCGCCAGCCTGATAGTTTTTATTCAATTTGGTTTCACGCTTGAATGCATTTGAAGAAAGAATGTTTTTGATTTATCGTATCGGCTTTGTTTCGGGATGTGGCTTCCGTGTTTCCTCACAAGTATAGATTTTGTTGATTTTTTTTCCCATCCTCGAAACTGTATGTTTCAGCATGCAAAAATAATAATAATCTTTTCAGTAAGGTGTCAAAAAATACTAATTTTATTTAAAAAATGTTATTATTTTAAATTAAATAAACAAAAAGTTGTGACTGTTACCGGAAACATTAATTATATTAGATAAAGAAATGGAAAACACCATATAACAAACAGCGGAGCGCATCAGAGAGCTGGTGCGATCATGCGTTTTGCGCAGCTCCGCCCAGCGGACGTTCGCTTACTAAAGATATAACTGTTTTACATTTTCCTATATCAAAAATAGTAGAACTGCTGTCTGGCTTCTAAAGTGAGGAATTTTCCACTGCAAATTTCACGTACAGCTACAAGAAAGTTGAATTTGGAAACATAGATGGGGAACATCCTTCTAAATTTCAATCTTCTAGTTTTTCAGCTTCCAAGCTAGTGACTTTGACATCAAAATTCTCACGTGGTTTTACGTAAGACCTCCGCATACTTGAAAGCCAAATTTGAGTTTGTGAGATACCTGCAGCGGCAGAAAATATCGTACTGAAATTTCAGCTTCCTAGTTTTCATGGTTTCTGAGATAATTTTCCGTCAAAACTTTCACAGGGCCGTACGCGATACCCAAGCGCATGGGAAAACTGAATTTAAATTTTCTGGGTTGCGCGTGGTCAAGGGGCATATCCATAAAATTTCAGCTCCCTAGCCTTTGCGGTTCCTGAGATAATGATTTTACCTGTTAAAACTTTTACGTGGCCGTATGTTTTACCGGCAGGTACGGGAAGGTTGAATTTAAGTTCTCTGGCCCGCACATGTGCAGAGGATATATCCACAAAACTTCAGTTTTCCAGCTTTTGTAGTTCCTAAGATAATAATTCTCCCTGCCAAAACTTTTACGGGACCGTACGTGCTAGCGGTGGGCAACGGAAGGCTGTTAAATTTGTCCCATCACATGTTGATGAGGAACACTATATTAAAATTTCAGCCGCCTAGCTTCTGTGGTTCACAAGTTGAAAGTGCGGGACAAAATGTGGGACACACAGACAACCCCTTGACAATATGCGTTTTGTACTGTTGTTATGCAGCGAAAACGCATAAAAAAGCAACCATTCTGTTAAAAACACTAATTATATTAGATTAAAAAATAGAGATACTAATTCTATATAAAGTACTAATTTTTTAATAAATAGAGCAAATCGATACTTTCAAATCACTGAAATCGTTTAGACGATTGATCTCATATCCTGGTGTTGCTAGTATGCAGTTCGTCTTTACGATGTTACCCTTTCCAGCACTGCATGTTTCCTGCTTGCCCCCCTCCCCCCCTCCCCCTCCCCCATCTTCACACTTACGTACCATTTTTTCGGAGGCCAGTTTAAGATCCGTTTCTTTCATCGTATGGATTGAGCAAACTCCTATGATAATACTCGTGTTTGTTCAGAAAAATGAGCAGGATGTAAATATATTCCAAAAATCAGAGAATATCAAGATCGCCCGGACAGCTGATGTAGGTATCCTATGTTAGTGATATCGCTCGGATGCTTTTAGGCCCCAGACGCAGCTCTGCCGGGCTATTAGGTCTTCAATCCCAACATTCCAACTGAATAACGTAATTATCACTCTCCGTAGTAACTGCGTAGTTAGCTCCGTAATACAAATAAGTAATTGAGATTTATCGCGTATGAAAGTAAGGAGAGTGCCTGAGTTACTAGGTAAAATGGAATGTTAGAAGATTATGACCAGAGAGGTTAATTTTCTTTATATCACTGAAATGCACTGCCAAATTTTGTTGCTGTTTTAGTTGATTTGTCACTGGTCAATCCCGATGATGATAGTATTTATATGTGTGGCAATTCGCTTGGTTTGATGCCAAAACGGACGAAATTACTAATGGATGAACAATTTCTGAAATGGGCAAACATGTAAGTTTTTACTTTTTTTCCTACTTTATTTTCTTCTCGATTTCAAAAATGTCTTTTTCCTGATTTCAATGATGCTTTACAACATATGTTTAAATCTTGAATCTTGTTTCTGAAAGATGAAATCAAGTCGATGATTCATTTGATTCTTTCAAATGCATGCTCAAAGCATAAAGATATGTTTTAAAACATCTTTGTGGGCTTTCTTGATTTTCGCAATTAATATGAAAATAACAATAAATAGGTGATAGTTAGAATTTAATTAAAAAAAAAAAGTTGTGGCTGTTACTTAAATTTGAAATAATGTATCCGGGTTGGTAAATAATCGTTTGTTGTTTTTCCTGTTTATCTCTAAGATTCTCCCTTTTCTGTTTTCGAATTTACTTGCAAATTGAACTGGATGGTATTTAATCCAAAAGTTAAAGTTCCTTTCGCCTTTTACCAACTATAAGAGGCGACGCGCATGGATGAAACATGTTGGTTGTTACTAACAGGAGATATGGTAAAATTTTATATAGGATGGTCATGTTAATATAGGAATGGAAAGGCATATTGAAACAGGAAGGGAAGTCGAAGAGGTAAATGGGAAATAAGAATTAAGAAATTAGTAATTATTTTAATAAAAGTTGGTGAAATTATTTTAATGCTGACTTGCCCGAAAGTTAAACTCCAAACTCAGAAGTGCATTGTGGATCACAGCTAAGCAGTGCTAAGCTTGAGCGTCAGTGAACCAGTGAGATTTCCTAACAATAGATGATCCGAGATAGCGCGCAGTACTGGACAGAGTAATAATGCAGTTGACATAAAAAGTCTAGTTCCCTTGAGAACTGTCTTACGGTTCGAACAAACGCCTTACTTGTCGCTCCGAACACCTCCTCCCAGCTTCTATTTGACCATCTGGACGTTGCTCCAAATAAATTTACCGGCGTTGTTGATGAAAAATTGCGTTGCTATCGTCACTGAAAAGACCAACTCGAAGTTGGGACGAACATCACACGCTTGCTTCGTTGTTTACATGTTTTTCATTCATTCTTATACTGCCCGGTGTCAGAATAGACCGCCAATCGGTGCTTTCCACTGTCCATTGTCAGAGGAGCCCGTTGTTTGTTGCTGTACACTGCTAGTCAGGGGAGCCCTCCGTTTGTTGTTTTCGACAGCGGAATGGTTTATCGTGTCCTATCTGTAAGTTCTTATCCTGTGGATAATAACGCTGTGAGAGATCTAGCTGAAACGAGGTCTAACATGTTTGTTGCTTAAAGTATTTTCCCAAGATAGGGATAGGTCCCTAATGGAATCACGACCAATTTATATTTTCCGTCCGCAATGTTTTGATAGAGGCAAAGAAACTAGTTTCATAAAGCCAGTATCTTTTTAACTGTTCAGGTCAGTGCTTTTGCCTGCCATCGGGAGTAAACTGCGGAGAAATTTTTGACTTTTGGCTTCAATAAAAAGCACTATGAGCTGTTAAATTACGGATATTATCGAGTTATGAATGAATGAAAGAATTGTGTTAAACAGAATAAGTTATGAATGTTACCGGAAATAAACGCTAAGGAACAACCTAGTCTTACTTCTGACTTGTTCAGAATCCGTCATGTTGTTTTCATATGCTTACAGTTTTGATGGAATTATGTTCAGGGGTGTTTTTGGACATTTCCATGAGCCGTTTGCTTGGGCGCACAGTGACGAGTCTGTACTGGACGGGATTGCCAAATTAGTTGGAGCTGAAAGGAGCGAGGTTGCAATAATGAACAGCTTAACAGTCAACTTGCATATTTTGTTGGTATGTTTTATTTTTGACCATGTTTTTTTCCTGTTTCTTTTCCTTTTTTATATTAATTGTAAATTAGCTGTGATTCATATTCGGGTTTTCTAGCTGCGCATCTGATAACTTTTCCATTAGCTCTGACCAGTGACGCATCACCTGACGATCAGCTTGCTGACCGTCCTGAAAGGATCATCAGCTTAACAGTTCTTTCAGCAGAAGCTCTGGCGAGCTTTAGCCACTTGGTGTTTATTGAATTTTTGATGTGTAGTGTCATTAATTTTTAGGCAGCTTTTTATCATCCTACAGCGAAGCGGCACAAAATTCTCACGGAATGGAAAGCATTCCCGTCTGATCACTATGCGATCGAGTCGCAGATTCGGTTGAAAGGATTCAGTGTCGAGGAAAGCTATGTTTGCGTGAAGCCACGAAGCGTAATATGGTTTTTTTTGCATTGAGCAAAAAAATGACTTCAACACTTTAATACAAAAAATTGGCCAACGCACGGGCTGCCCGTACGAAGATGCGTTTTTTGCAGAGTTCCCCGCAGCT